TCTTAGCTGTGCACAGCAGCTCTTTCCCCATCCCCCTACCTTACTCCTCCCCCCTCCCTCCTCTACGCCCCCTCCCTGTCCCTCGGAAAAAAAATCAATTCTGAGTCACCAAACCCATCTGACTCCATTTCCGGTTCTCAATGCACCCAGACCCTGACAATGGCCCCATCCTAGCCCACCCAGCATGGGGCAGTCCCAGGGTGGCCTGGGCTCCCACTTAGGTCTGCTGTCTGATGCCCATTAACAGATATGCCCCTTTCTAGGATGAGAAGATTGCTGACAGTCTTATATAATATCCAGATATAAGGGGTGGTGGGCTGGGCATGCAAAAGACAAGGGGCAGCTCCCGCTCTTGGAAGTCCGTTAAATGCAAGTGTGGGGAATGACGGACAGAACCAAGCTGGGAGTCAAATGTCTCAGAGGAGAACAAGTGTCATTAGAGACCCCTCCACGCGGTCTCCTCCTCCACCTCTTCTCACTTGCAAACTTCTTCAGGGGCGTGATGCCTGCTGTCACCCTCAAAGGCCACGAGGCCAGGTGCCCCCTGGGGCCCAGGAGACAAAGATCAGAAGAAGGGGCTGTAGGCCCACTCATTAAAGGCACTCAGGGGCCTAGAGAAAGTGGGAGTCAGAGGAGAGAGCCAAGAGGCAGGGCAAGAGGCCCGGGGAAGGACAGAGGGCTGGAGGCAGGGATGGACGGACCGAAGGATGGAGGGAGAGAGGATAGATAGATGGATGGACAGATGAACTACTGCGGAGGGCGGGGGTCCAAAAGCACCGCAGCCGCAGGCGAACGCCGAAAAGGAGCAGGAGGTGTGGGGCAAAAGGCGAAGGAACAAGGGGGGTGAGGAAGGGGGCACAGAAGTGGGGTGCGTGGGAAACACGTGGAGAGGACTGTTGCGGATGGGGAAAGCCGGAGGCAGGTGCAGGAGGGGCGGGAGCTGGAGGCCAGCAGGCAGAGAGAAAGATACAGACAAGCCTATGTGGGGGCAGGTACTGGGCACCAGCAGAGACAGAGGTGGGCAGGGTGGGCTGCGAGCGGTGAGCCGGCGCTAGGACCCGGAGGCGCGAAGGGGACGGAGCGGGCGGGCACTAGGACCCGGCGGGTCCTTTGTTTGGGGGGCCGGGGAGCCGGACGGCGGCTCCAGTCGGCGGCTCCCCTCAGCTGGCGGGGGCCCGGAAGGGGGGAGGGGAGACAGGGATGGGGTCCCCGGACTCTAGGGTGGCTTCACTCACCGTCGGCCGCGGGCAG